CCTCTCAGCCCACCCCCAGGCCCCATTCCCAATCCCAGCCTGGTGTCCCCTTTTGGGGGTGTTGGAAATGATACACGCCAGGACCCCAACCCAAATCCCAGGATCCCCCTCTGCCCTGCAGTGTCCACCAGCCCTCCCATGGCCGCAGTCACGCTCCCAGTTCCCCCCTGCTGCCCCCAGAGCCCTGTGAACACCAGTCCCATGTCCCCCCAGGGTCCCCTGAGCTTCCTGAAGGACTCCAACCCCACGTCGCATTCTCCCCCAGGGTCCCCCCAGTGTCCCCCAGCACCCCAGTACCGATGTCACGTTTTCCTCTCCCCCCCTCCTTGTGTGCCCTGGAGTGCCCCAGTCCCTGATACCAAAATCAGCTGAAGTGAACTCCCTGATGGAACTGGAGGTATCAAAAAGCTAGAATTCTTGATCAGCTCAGACTCACTGCAGATCTCTCCTGGTCCTGCAGCTCAGTGGGACTTTGCCACTTCTATCCGCTGTACTTATAAATATTTATTTAAATGGACTTCATAGCTAATACAATACCAGCACATTTCCTGTAAATAAGTGCCATGGCTCCGCCTCTCTCTTCTTTTATTTTTCTGGAAAATTCCTAAGAAGTCATCTGAAGGTCATTTTCACTTATTGTCGCTGTATTCCAGATGTTGTTGCCCAAACTTCCGCTTTTGGCAGGCGCTGCTCCTTCTGTGTCTCAGAAGTTGCAAAAAACCCCTCTGGAGTTCCCCATTTTCTCTTTCTCCACTGCTTTGAGCCATGTTTATTGTGCTCTGTAAATACTTTTACATCCTTTCATCATTTTTGCCAGTCAGACTTTAAGCTCTACACAGCACCTTCAGTACGTTCGGAAAAGCCACACCGTGAAAAGCCAAGGGTCCTCAAAGCAGTTTTGAAACTTGATTCAAATACAGGGACAGAGTTTCCACAGCCATACCCCTGTGGGGTTTCTCTCTCGAGCACTCAGAGAGCAAAGCCTCCTTTTATCCCAAACTCCCATCCGCATGTTGCCTTCATCCTTTCCACATTGGCTGAGGTAGCAGGAAGGTGCAGCCATCCCCAACCACCTACCCCATATCCCCCTTGAACCTCGCATTTTCTCCCAAAGTTCAGAATTTCAGGCTGTCAGGGTTATGGAATTGACTTAGTGAGAACCCATTTCTCTTATTACGTGAATGGTCAGGACTACCAACTTTCTGGTCAAACCACCAGAGTTCTGAGACAAACTTCATGTCTTCTCATGCAGAGATGTCAAGAGCCATTTTGAAGACACTGACAACAGTTTCTCTTAAAGATTCCCAACCCTCTGAGTCCTTTTTCAAAGACATCACCACCCATCTTTCCTATAAAATACTTCCCTCTGACGGTGGTGATGCCCTGGCAGAGGCTGCTCAGAGAAGCTCTGTCTGTCACATCCCTGGCTGCGTCCAAGGCCAGACTGTGCGGTTCCTGGAGCAGCCTGGCCCAGGGGAAGGTGTCCCTGCCCATGGCAGGGCTGGCACGGGAAAGGCTTTAAGGTNATATTCAGGAATAATCTCTACTCCCTATCCTCATGTTGCAGCAAGGTCACTGATTGCTAATTGCTGACATCTCCTTTCAGCTTGCTGACTGCTGACTTCCTTCTCTCAGCTTAACCAGCGGCATTATGTCAGTATGGCCTTTCTCAGCTAACCAACTATTAATAAAACTCTCCACACCTCATTTTGTGGGCTGGGACCTTCCCATGTCCCGTGGGTGTTCTCCTGTGCTCTCTCCTGATTCCTGGCAATCTTTGGGCTCTCTGCACCCCTGGGAATGGGCACAGTGTTCCAGGCACCTCACCAGTGCTGTTTGGGACAGTAAAACCTCTGTGGGGGCATTTTGGAGCACTCCCTGTCACCATCAGCTCCTCTGGCAGTGCCTGGCTTCCTTTGCATTCCTGACTCCCAGCTGGGTGGGATTCAGGGTGGGTGCTCCTGCCCTCAGGAAGGTGTGCTCTCCTGTGGGGCCTCAGTGACAGCAGTCCTAGTGCAGGTGAGGGACAGATCAGCATTTCTGGCTTGTGTTTGTGGCCAGGTGGAGATGGCATTTGGGGACATGGTCACTGCTGGCCTGGGCAGTGCTGGGGACAGTTGGGCTCGGTGGGCTGTGAGGGCTTTTCCAATCTCAGCAATTCCATGATTCCACATTGCTTTGCTGGTCTGCTTTTCATCTTGGCTGTGGCTCTGTGCACTGCAGTTTGCAGCTCCAGCCACCTCTGTTCTGTGTGCCTGTTGGTGCCCTGGTGTTGCCATCATCCCTGTGTTCCTTGTGTCCCACTCCAGCCATGGGGAACACCTGCAGCTCTGGGTGCTGTCCAGACACCTGGAGAGCAGGATTTTGTCCTGGGAGTGTTTGTTTTCTGTCTGCTCCACGTTCACAAACCTGGAGGCTGCACAAAACCAGGAGTCTCATTCTTGCTGCAAAATAGGAGTCAGAATATTGGGGATATATCCTGGAATGGCTGGGCTGGGAAGGGGAGCTGTGGCTGCCTCATCCCTGTCAGTGTCCAAGGCCAGGTTGGAGCAGCCTGGGATAGTGGAAGGGATCCCTGCCATGGCAGGGGTGGAATGGGATGAGCTTTAGAGTCCCTCCAGCCCAAACCATTCCATTATTCAGGACAATCCAGGAGAAGCTTTGCTTTTGGTCATGGCTCCTGCTCTGAACAGAGGTTTTCCCATGGATCTTTTTACTCAGAGCAAAGACCTTCCACAGGAACATGTCCAGGACCACAGGCTGGGGTTGTCCCTGCTGGTTTTTGCATGGTTGGTGGGAAATGTGGAGTCGAGGGAAGGAACAGCTCTGTTTTGGTGGATGGTGCCACCAGAACCCACGTGANCCCTTCCTCCTGGCATTTGTGTGTCATCTTCTATCTGTCATGTGCATGTGCTCTTGTCACCTTTGTGCTTCTCCTCCTGTCACCTGCACATGTCTATCCCCTCCTTCTGCCACGTGTGTGCTGTGCCTCTTGTCACCTCTATGTGCCCCTCCTCCTGTCACCCTTGTGTGCTGTGCCTCTTGTCAGCTCTGTGTGTCCCTTCCTCCTGTCACCCGTGTGTGCTCTCCCCCTGTCCCCTGTGTCCCTTTTCCACACATGTCACTCTGTGCCACACGTGAAGCTGGACTCCTGCTCCTGGCCCTGCCTGGGCTGGAGCTGGGAAGTTTTATGGATTCATTTTGTGTCCAATAGATGGGACAGGCCATGGTTCCCAGCAGGAACACCTGGCATGGGGGGAAAAGCTGGGAAATTGGCACTGGATGTCACTGACCATTGTCCAGGTGTCACTGAGTGTGGCCTGGGTGTCACTGAACATTTTCTGGGTGTCGCTGACCATCGCCCAGGTGCCACTGACCACTGCCCAGCTGTCACTGCCCAGCTGTCACTGACCACTGCCCAGCTGTCCCTGACCACTGCTCAGCTGTCACTGACCACTGCCCAAGTGTCCCTGACCACTGCCCAGCTGTCACTGTCCAGCTGTCACTGACCACTGCCCAGCTGTCCCTGACCACTGCTCAGCTGTCACTGACCATCACCCAGCTGTCCCTGACCACGGCCCAGCTGTCACTGACCACTGCCCAAGTGTCACTGACCGCTGCCCAAGTGTCACTGACCGCTGCCCAGCTGTCACTGACCACCCTCCTGTCCCCGTGCTCTCCCAGGTGTGACCCCTGCCCGGCCGCCCATCCCAGTGACCATCCCGCAGGTGGGCGTTGTGAACCCCATCCTGGCCAGCCCCCCAGCGCTGGGGCTGGTGGAGGTGAAGAAGGAGAATAAGGAGGAGGAGGAGGTGTTCCAGGAGTCGGAGCGGCCGGAGATGCTGAGCGAGCAGGAGCACATGAGCATCTCGGGCAGCAGCGCCCGCCACATGGTCATGCAGAAGCTGCTGCGCAAGCAGGAGGTG